TTTTTTTTTTTTTTTTTTTTTTTTTTAAATCTGCGAGTTTGGCATCCAAAGTAGAGCAAAGAAGTGAATTCTCCATGGGCGTTTTCCCCATTTTAAGAAAAAAAAAAAAAAAAACAGAACTTTGCGACGAGCGTATATTTTGTAACCCCGTTGTTAATCTGCGCCCCACGTATACCCCCTATACTCTGTTGAGAGCGCATTTTAAGAAGGGCCAAATGAGCAATCGCGTTTTATATGTATACATTTGACCCTCACTCGTTGTGACGTGACGTGGGGACCCAAGTGGGTAAAAGGACGATTTAGGTCTCCAACCAGCAGAAGCCTTACTTTACCCCCCTCTCTGCTGTTGCATGGCCAGTGAGCGACTCGGAGGACGCAACCAAAAAACAGGGGCAAGAATAATACAGTTACAAGTGTACACGTACATGTAAGGGCTTCCCTACATAGTTGAAAACGCTCCCCCATAGGGAAGGGCGCGCGAAATATAACCACCCCCCGGTGGAGGTATACCTCTAAGGAGGGGAGCCCTGCGTGTTTAATATACATATATACACAGAAGTCTGACCCCCAAAATGACGACAACCATCCACCGCACCAGTAAAGGGCCCCACGGGGCACAAAGGATCTTTCACAATTTGTACAGAAGAACAAATGATAAGAAACAACTAACCATGAACCTAACAGAATTTAAATTTTACGACTATGAAACGAAAGAACTTCGAACGATAGAAGTATCTCCCTGTAGAAAGTACATATGTATATGTGACTCCTTTGGGGTTATATATGTGTACAAAATTTTTAAGAATGAGTTCTTGTACTTGTTGCAACTGCATGCACATGTGTCCAAGAGCTCCATCATGTCAGTAATATGGATTAGCAAAAAGAACCCGAAGAAGAAGCATTTGTTTTTGATGAACGATTACAAAGACTACGTTCTCGCCATTACCACTTTGTGTGGGGAGATCGTGTTGTATGATTTGGAAAGTCAGAACCGGCTGCAAAGCATTTCGAGTAACGGAAGCATATCCTGCGCCAAACTGAATAACAGCCTTCAGTACTTTGGCATCACCAATTTGGATGGCTACTTCTACCTGTACAATATATACAGCAATGCGGGTAGCCACATCTACAACTGCTTCGACCGCTTCCACGAGGGGGGCGTCGTTGGCGGCGACGTGAGCGATGTGAGCGACGTTAGCGACGTGAGCGACGATGCATATAACAGTGATGGTGGTGATGGTAGCGAGGACAGCAAGCGCAGCGACGACGACGCGCAGGAACGACCGGGCAAGAAAATCAAACTGTCCAGTGATCTTGCCCAGTACCTGGAAGAAGAAGAAGAGGATGCCTCGTCCCAGGGAGAAGACGCAGAGAGCGCCCCGGCGGTGGCCCCAAAGGCGTGGCACGTATTCTCCCCCACAAACAGAAAAATAGAAAAGGAAAATCAAAATGGTGATACCTTTAACATATATATTACAAACAGATTCAAGTGTAAGGAAAAGTTGGTGTGCTTATACTTTATGGATGAGCTGAAAAGCAGGGAAGTGCTCCTAAGCAGTGTGCAGGAAAGCGGCCACAAGGAAAACTACCGACATGGTAGCCACGACAAAAACAAAGCGACTTCCCCCCCCCGGAAGAACAAAATCAGGGAGCTGGAAAAGTCGTACAATAGCTACAACCACTACGTACTATTGGGGAGCGAAGACTCCAAAATATACAAGTACAATATAGCGAGGAAGGTGTGTGAGGGAGAATTCAAAGGCGTCCATGAGAATTGTATCATTTGGGATGTCCTCTACATTTACAAGACAGACGAGGTGGTGTGTGTAGATAACAGTGGCTCCTTAACCATTTTTGAAAACAGCACATTCAGCGTAAAATATTTTTTTAATCATCATATGTATAAGTCGGTGTCCTTGGCGAAGACAATGAATGAGGATTATATTTTCACAGCAGGGGTCGACAGGTATATAATTAAATACGCCCTCACACATGTACATGGCAAAGGAGGGTCTTCCTCAAATGTAACCATAAGACAGCAGGTAGCTACGACGGGGAAGCGAAAAGCCCAAATGATTAGCAGCCAAATGAATGGAGATACAGCAACATTCCGGTACTCAGCAGTGAATGGAGGTGACCAAGCAGAAGAAGAAAATTTCTTCCTCGACAAAGTGAAAGAAACAAACGAGATAAATAAAAAGTGGTATAGAATTAATAAAAGGTCTACCCACTTTGCAGACATAAAACGTATTGTCCTGCTGAGGGGAAATGTACTAGTTAGCATAAGTGACGATATGTCCTTTTGTTTGTACGACACCTTCAACCAAGTCAATAGGTATTTCCAAATAGGTAATGTGGAGCTGAACAGGAATATTTTTTTTTCAGCAAATTTGAAAACCGTTTTCTGCACACACGCTTGGGGGATAAAAATTTACTATAACAATAGCCCCATCTGCATGGAGGAGGGGGGAAGACGCAGCATTCAGGGGGGAAGCAGCATTGAGGGAGGAAATGTTCAGAAGGATGCAGATGATGATACGAAATTGCTCACCCCGAAGGGCTTGGAAAAAATCAGCGAAGTGTACTACAAACACATCGCCAAAATTTCCTACGCACAAAATGAGTTTGTTAATTCTTGTATTGTAAATAAAAGCGCGACAAAAATTGTTTGCAGGACGAATAAAAAATTCTCCATTTATCACTTCAATATAAATGACCTGACCATATACAATTATGACCTGTCCAAGTTAGGCGCTTTTAAAGTGTACTCGTTCGAATTTGTTCATGATGCTGATGATGATGATCTGGTCATTCTTTCCTTTGCAAAGTGCCATTTCAGCAAGAGCAGTGAGAAGAAGGAAGACGTTGTTGCGGGGGAGGAGAAAGACTTCCCAGGCGGGGAAGACAACAAACAAGAAATGTACGAAATGTATGAACATGTACATGTAGAGGATGATGAAATGGAGAGAGGGGAAAACAATGGACGACAATATTTGTACACTTACCATGTAGCCATTTACAACATTGACACAAAGCAAGTAGTGGAAGAAATTCAAGTGGATAGAATTTTAAGTAATTTTAAAAAATATAACAATGGGAAACTAATCATTTGCACGGATGAACAAAAAAATATTTTTTTATTTTTTAAAAATTCGAAAAAATATTTGAATACATGTTTGAAAATAGGGGACTTTAATTTAAGCAAGAGGAACATCCACCGGAGCTACTTGTTTTCCATCGTCGTTGAGAATCTCTTGTTCATTTTTACGCTGGACAATTGTGTGTACGTATACTCCTTCTCTTATGGGACGGGCAATTTGTCCTTCTTGAAGACTCACGTTGTTAGAAATTATACACTCCGCGAATACAGGGATGTGTCCCTAATCGATTTGGGTCTGCTTGGGGGGGGAAGCGTACAGCGCCGACAGGAGTACAATCAAGGGGAAGAGGCGGGAGGAAGTGAAGCGGGCGACCATGTGGATGCAGCCAAGGGGTCACCCCTTCCAGCGTGCTTCCAGAGCAAGTACTGCCTCCTCCTTCGCAGCTGCGACAAAATGAGGCTACTCCGGCTCAACATATGTAATGACCTCTCCATCAACATCCAGTTCACAAACGTACAAAATGCGTTCAAGCATAACGCAGAACTGATCGATCAGTACTACCTGTCCTCACTTAATTTTCGCTACAACTTCCTCAACACGAAGCAACTGTACTTTGAGGATACAAATCTGTACAATATCCTCCTGCGCGAGATGAGGAAGGAACGCAAGCGGGGGGGAGAAGTAGATAGCATGGACATTGCTAATGGGGTTCCTACTAATAACGACTTAGCACATGACAAGGCACTAGCGGAAGGACAACACAAGAAGGAAGAGCCCACACAAGAGAAAGGTTGTCCCATCAGCACAGATCTTTTAAACCTTTCCTTCAAATCGCTAAAGTATTTAAAAATGAAAAACATTTTGAACGTGCGTCCCTTGTACACATCCCAGAGCGACATCGTGTTGCTTCTGTGTGTCCCCCAAAATATTGATTGCACGCTCATTAGTGTGGCTGACACGAAGAAATATGTTGAGTAAAGTTTGGTGCATACATATATATATATATATGTGTCTGTAATGCCCTCCATTTCATCGCCCTCACAATCATCATGAGGCGTGCCTTGTATAGTACCCTCTGTGTGGATAAATTTTATTTGTCTTCACGTTGAACCCTGTCTCATGACTTTTTGCCTTTTCATTTGTTTGTGCGCATATCTGCTCAGTTTTTGTTTTTTCCCCACAGTTTTGGCTCCCTACCAGTTGGGGGGCTGGAGGGGGGAATGTTGTATGGCGCTGTAAATATGCGTAATGCGCTTTGCTTAGTTGAGGGCTGCGCTTTACAGTGCGCGAACCCCCTCTTTTCAAACTGTGTCTCCTCGAGGCAACTAGCCAATCTGGCACATATGGCCCCCGCATTTGGGCGGTAGGCCAACTTTTTTAAAACTTCAATCCATTTTTTGCCTTTGTAACAACTGGTGCTTCAGGCGATAGTCCTTTGAGGCAAGCGGAGCAATCTACCGCACGCGTGCCATCGCCATGTAGGTTTTTCCATTTATATATTACCCGCTCATACCATGTGCTTGTCAACCAACCTATAAGACTCGCGGTCCACGATGCGGCCAATTCTGTCCCGGAGCAACTCCCTCATGTCGTACGAGCACTGTTCATTTTCCACACGCTTCAAGCTCTGTAGAATGTTATTAAAGCTCCTATTCCTCCGCACTTCACTTTCGAGGTAGTTAAAAACGGTTCGGTTATTCTTCACCAGGTGGTGCATGTAGTACCTGTACGTATAAAACGCCATGACGTAGCTGTCACTGAATAGGCAGTTCACCTTGTTATCACTTTTACTTACAGTTGGGAAGTTCCGCACCTTGTCCTTTATGTACTTATACGTTTCTTCGCGCGTCTCCAAGCTACAGTTACACTTCGTGCTGAAGTACTTTCTCGCTTCTTTAGGACAGAAAAAAACAATTTGACACTTGAAAATTGAGTTTAGGAAGTACACGAGGACGGAGAGGATCTTTTCCTTTGTTCTGTTCTTCTCGTACTTATCATTTACCTTTTCGATCCCGATGATCCATTCTTGCGGTTTCCGCTGCTGTTGTTGTTCTTCTTCCCCCCTTTGGGCCGTTCCTGCGTGTGTGCCCATTGGCGCGTTACTCGGCTGGTTCCACTGAGCAGCGCCATCGTTGCCTCTATCGTTGGAGCTATCGCCGGGCTGCACATCCCCATCGGAATGCAACTTGACCAAATTCAAAACGGTTAGAATTTCCCGTATGTTAAAGCTCAGAGGGGTGTCCTCTCGGTCATAACTGTATGTTAATTCCTCCTTGTCGAGGTTATGCTTTCCCTTTCGAGTGCTGGAGGGGCCCTGCTCATAGGGTTGGAAATCCTTTTTAATGTTAATCAGTCCAATTTTTTTAATAATTTTATTCCTCAGCAAGCAGTAGCACAGGTTGTTGTTACTTATTACCAAGCTCAACACATTTACATCGCATCCCTTCCTCTTCATTTCACTCAAACATGGTTCGATTCCCCTCCGACTGGACATGTGACGTGTATCCCTGCGGTTGTTATGTAACCATCTTCTTAAAAAACAGGGGAAATGTGCAAACTCCTTCTTAATTATGTTCATGTAAAAATGGGGAATAAAAAAAAAAAAAGAAAAAAAGTCTCTCCAACTATGCCTTACAACGACGATGCTACTTACAATATAGGAACTTTTTAACATTTAATTCATAATATCGTCCCTTGAGCTTTTCTCCTTTAGAAGATCTTTCGCTTTCCCAGTTTGATGCTCATGGATAGAAGCTGGTCAATCGTCCTTGGCCGCCGCTTCGTGCAGTGTCGCCTTTACGCTTTCTACGAACTGAGCTAGCTATTTTTTTTTTTTTTTTTTTTTTTTTATTTAGAAATTGCCTTGCCTGTTCAGGCAAAAACGACGTGAGAATTGGGTTTCCCCATTAAGCAGCACATTTTTTATATGATTAAGAAGTGGTGGGCCACGGATGAGAGAAAAAATGCACAAATGTGTGAACCCCGTTTTTTCTTGTTTCATGAGATGGGACCACCTTTACCTTTACACCGAAGAGGGTTTAAAGACGTTGCACAATTCATGTGGCAACGTCCCATCAAAACACCCTTAACATGCTCCAAGTTTGGAAGTTTCCTTTTAAAATTCATTCATCTAACATTTACACACACTCGGAGGGAGAGTTTTTTTGAGAAAACAAAAGGAAAACAAATTCGATGAAAAGTGCGCACGGGCGAGCAAACATTTTGTACATAAAAAAAAAAAAAAAGTTAAGCAGCAGTAGGAAAAAACATGGTTCACTGTTCACACCAATTTCTACACTTTGCTGATGCGATATTTGGCCAAGGTGCACACACTTACCCATGCGCAGGGCGCATGTGTGTGTCCCATATACCGTTTGATTTGTGTCTCCATTGTTGCTGCGCATAGTGCGTCGCCCACTACTCCCTATCGCCACTTCACGTCACCGCTTAACCGCGCTTAAACGCGCTTAGCCCCGCTTCACCTTTTCATAGTCCACGTGGGTGAGGCTGCAGCTGATCCCCTCATAGCGCTCCACCTCTATACCCTCCAAAAGCTCATCGTTGATTTCCCCCCTGTAGTTTGCCTTCCTAATTAATTTCTTGACGGTCGTTTGGTGGTCAAAGTTATGCTGGGAAGCGACCTCGGGCAAGAAGGTCGACGAGTACCTCTTCTTGTTCACGACAAAGCTGATTTTAATGCCATGCTTTCCAATGATCCAGTCGTACACATGTGCACATTTTTCAAAGTTAAATAAATACGTTATGGTTACAATCAGGAAAGGAAAATCTTGTAATGTGATGGGATAAAATCTTGTGTCGTTGAGGGAACTCTCTAAAGCATAATAACGCAGCTCCATTATATCTACTTCGTTTAAGCAGCCTATACAGCCGTTTAGTTCATACGCATCGTAATCATAGGACCCCATGTCTTTCACGTCATTCAGCTTCATCCATTTGACGAAGAAGGGGATCTTGAATCCGCTGTTATGTAGTGACTGGATCAGCGGGGGCGCTTTATCAAATTTCTCATTTTTTAATTCACACTTTAGTACATCAAAGCACCATGAGCAGATGGCGTCTTTATTTTCTATTAGCTCATTAACTATTTTTGTTTGGCTCTTTGGTACTTGAGCCTCGTTTTGTTCTTCACTCTGGGTGGGCACCATTGTTTCGCGGCTAGGTGGGGCGCGAGGTGATAAAAAAACCCGTTGATGTGGTGCTTCAGGGTTTAGGGAACCAGAACCGTTGGAAGCGCTTCTTCGACCAGGGGAAAACAATTTAAAGACATATGACGGTGTAGAAGTGGTCGTGATTACAAAATGGATGTCACAGGGGTGAGAGGGCGGGAAAAAAAAAAAAAAAAAAAAAAAAA